GAACCGGACTCGCCAGTTTCGACTCGGGAATTGCCATGGACGGTTTCACCCATAGACAAGTGTCACGTGTTGACACAAAAATAATTTAAAAAAAAAATAGTTTACAATGAGATCATTTTACTTTAGTATAAGGTGGTCACAATTAATGTAGACCGTTGGATGTGAAAATGGGTGGCTACCCTTATTGCATTGATCAAGCTCAAAGTTCAAAAGATTTTTTCTCGAACTTTATGACACATCTAAACTATCAGATTTCACATCAGATAGTTATAAGTAATTGTGACCCCTTATATCAAAAGTAAAGAGTCTCATTGTATACAATCCCAACGCTTAAGCAATGGCTTGTAATTTGTCTCCCGAAATTGCAATTTATGCTTTGTTCTAAAATATGTGTTTCCCCCTCCCCAGTACGTAATAAATTGGTAGATTTATTCACTTATCCATATTCATTAAAAAGCTAGAAATATTCATATGTGGTTTGAAGGAACACAAATGAAAATAATACTAAATGGGGCATAAAATTCCATAATGACCTTTTTCAACCAATTATGCAAATGACCATGTGTTTGGGATTAGGAAGAGACATGTTAAACTTGATAGAATCAAATTTACTCATGCTTTCTAACAAAGAGAGAGAACACCAATCAGAGAGACAACACTTTAGACCAGAGAATGACAAGCTAACAACCTACAATACGGAGGAGAGATTTGCCACCATCCAACACTAAGGGAAGAGAGAGAAACCTGGTTAATGAGAAAATTCTCACTTCCAATCTCAAATTTTGGAAAGGAAGGTTTTACGCGGCCAGGCCCATATATGTAGAAATGCGGGCCAATTAATAAATCTATTTTTGAGATAGATTTTTTGACTTAATTTTTAAAGACCTGTAATATCTAACATGGAGATCATGAATATGAAAAAATAAGTAAAAATTTTAGAGCTAGAAACAATAATTCTAGTAAGAAAACATTTGTATTGTCAGTTTCTATTTTTTTACGATGGAACACCTACTTGTATCCATCTTTAAGATAGATGCTTTACATTTTTTGGACCGTATATGTAGTCATGCGGTCTAGCCCGCATGAAACAATTTTTCTGAAAATAGTGAGATTTTTTTCTTTTTTTAATGTTAACAGTGGTTTCATTAAGTGAATGAAGGATTACAAAAAGAGGTACACAACAAAAATGAGAAGCAAAGGAAGCAGAGGAGAAAGAGTGAGAGAGAGAAAGAAAAGATTGGAGAGAAGGGTGAAAAGAATGGGAGAAAGGAAGAAGAGAAGCAAGGTAGAAGCTTAGAGTTGAGCATTATTTCATCTATGATGAGGAAATAATTAGAGCTTTTTTTTGGGAAAACATCTCCGTACCCCTATTTTGAAGTTTCATATCTCAATAGACCAAATATTTCAAAATATATCTTAAGTCATAAAAATTCGAAGTTTTATATCTTTTAACCCCTTAAGCTAACTTCTTCTCTTTAAAACATATTTTTTACCCTAAACAAATATAAAAAAAACATATCATTTCTAAACACTATCAATTCTCTCTCTTCACATGATTTTCCCTTAAATATCTCTCTACCTATTTTCCCACTCTCCCCCTGTGTCTCTCACTCACTCTCTCCCCCATTAGAGAGTGAAAGAGGGAGAATGTTAGAGAGAGAAGTTTGGCAGGAAATATATCACGCAAAGAGGAAGGATTTAGAATGAGCATGTTTTTTTTATATTTGTTAAGGCTAAAAAAATAGTTAGAAGTAAGTAAAATTAGTAAAAGGTTAAGAGATATATTTCGAATCTTTAAGTCTATTAAAATATAAAAACAAAAAATAAAAGGCACAAAGATATTTCTCTTTCTTTTTTTTTTTTGCAAAATAGCTTGGGAGTCCCCTAATTAACGAGAACGCTTTAACTAAACTTTAATAATGGTAGTCCAATTGTAAATTTATTGGTTTAATTGGCATGGGAGAAATAGTAAGGGATCATGAGTATCGACGATAATGCGGCAATCTGTACCTCTTAATAAGTGCACTGCAGTTGAGGAGAGTCCCCTGGTAAACATGAGTTCTTAAACTAAACTTTGATGGCAATTATAAATATATAAGTTTAAATAGCGGGGAGATACTGTAAGGGATCATTAAGGTAGAAGACGATGAGGCACTCTGTGCAACTTGATAAGTGCACTATAGTTGAAGCCGAGGCTAGGTCACTGCTCCAAGGACTTCACTTTATTAAATCCAAATTTTTACACAATTACTCTAGGAGAGTATAGTTATACAATTTGATGGGCCATTAATTCATAAAAATGCTCATACCATCCTACACATGTTTGTTTGAAACCTCGAGCAAATAATATCGATTCATGTAAACATATTAATTCGGAATTGCTAAAGATAGGGGCTTCAACCCCTTCGTACTAACTTCTATAAACGAATCAATTTGAGAGCAGATGCCTTAGACAGCCTCCAGGCCCTTGTCAATTGTTTCTTGCTTACAGTTTTGCAAATTCCAATGAGTCAGGTTAGAATCGGTGTGTATGTAGTTTGGGTCTAACGTCTGGTGAACTTATCAATTGTTTTTGCTGACTTTTTATCCGATGAGCTTAATCAAAGCTGCATGAGCTTTTTGATTTAGCTTACAATTTTGGTTTTCAAAACACTTGTAAAAATCATCTCATCTGAGCTTCGTTTATTAGATGAGGTAAGCTATAAAATAGATATAAGTTATATACTGGCTGCCCACCTATATCAATCTTCGACCTCTCCTCGAGCCTAGGATTAACTATGACAGGGTTTTAAAACAGTTGCAAAAGTTATTATAAATAAAAAAAAAAAAGAAAAAAAAGAAAAAAAAGAAAAAAGAAAACAAGCACTTGCGACGTGCATAAAAGAGGAAAGAAATGGCAATAAAGCACGCATTGAATCTTTAGGGGGCACTTGTAGTCTAAGGAGTAATGATGAAGGGATGCAATGGCCAATAGATCTTTAGATTAGGGTAATGCCCCCAAGATTAGGGTAATGCCCCCGATACCACATATATCATTTGTCATTGACCAATACGTGGTTATTGACGGAAAAATGGTAAAATTACCCTTAACTTCTTTCTAATGACTTCTTCGAACAGGACGAAACTGCACGCATCATACATGGAGATTTCGTTATATGTGGGTATTTTCGTCTTTTTCAAATAAATGGGCTTGGGTATAACCGTCTTTGGGGTAAAAATAGTGGGTAGTTCGGACCTTTCTTCTATTTTACAAAATTTAAATATTTAAAATCAGTATTTTTTTTCCCTCTCCCGTCCAAGGGATGGTGGGCGAGCTTCTGTTGTATACGGCTCTCTCTCTCTCTCTCTCTCTCTAAACTTCACCAAAGGATCCCTCACTCTTATCAGGAGTATTATTTCTCTCTATAAAACTGCCCACTCTAAGGAGGGACACTCTCTCTCATCCCTAGTATTCTTTCTCGGGGCTTACACCTCTCAGCTTTTCTCCATGTTTCTCTCTCTTCTTTTTTCGCAAAATACTCTCTCTCTCTTGCTGTTGCTCTGCAATTTCTTCTCTCCGTGTTATTTCTCTGAGCGTTTGTACAGTCTCGTCTCTCATAATCATGCTTTATTAAGCCTCTTTTAATTTTCAACTTCACCGTGTTTCTCCCTCTGCAATCCGTTTTCTCACTCTTTGTTCTCTCTGAACATTTGAGCTCCTCTGTTTCCTCGAAATCGGATGGATCGGCCTCTATAACCGTGTGCTTCTTTTTGTAAGAGCTCAATCTCTTCTCCTCTTTCTCTGCGACTCTTTTCTATTATTTTCGTATCAGTTTTTGAACTGTTTTGCATTTAAGCATTATCCAATTCCAATCTAACTAAAAACCTCGATTCATTCTCTCTCTATATCTGTCTTGCTATAGTACCTCAGTTCGTTCTCCTTCTCTCACTAGAATAACTCTACTCTTTCTTCCGAGAATAACTCTACTCTTTCCTCCGCTCTGTTTATGACTTACTTTGGGTCTCTTAGTCTTCTTTGAATATTTAAACTGTTTCTCCTCTCTGTTTATGACTTACTTTGGGTCTCTTACTCTTCTTTGAGTATTAAAACTGTTTCCCTTACAGAAATCAGAAGACTTGGCCTTTGGAGCAATATCTCTTCAACTGAACTTGAAGCAATTAGATAACAGATGAATGAAGAGGTAATTTGTTCTGCTATTTTACAGTTATTTTCTTGAATCTTTTCAGTTTCTGCTCTTCTTAGGCTCCTCTATAAAATCAGTTTGATTTCTATTCGAGCCAAGAGAGAAAGGAGTAAACTTTTTGCTGTTTGAGAGCTTCGCTAAGTCAAATCTCTCAGTATGTGCTGTTTTTAATGTTTCTCTGTAAATCGATGAGTTTTTGTGTAATCTTTGAGAAACTTGTAGATCTGTACAATTGTTGTCATCTGCAACGGTTAAAAGTCAGAATTCTTTGTATGTGTCGGAATTTAGATGATTTCTTGATTTTTCACCGGGGAAAAGAAGTTTCTGATACTGTTATTTTCTGTTTTCACTAGAATTTTAATCGTTTTATGGTTTATGCTTAGGATATATGACGTCTAGTGAGAGGTAATTTGTAGATCCTGTGTTGTATCTCTTTCTAGGAGGCTCAAAAGCAGAAGATGGCGTCTCTATTTGATTTAGCCTTTTTGGTTTAGTTTGTCTAGTGGCCTTTTGAATGAGAGAGATTCTCGTCCGATGCTAAATTCTTCTACCTTTCTAATAATTCTTTCAGTAAACCCCCTAATCCTTTGATTTAAGAAGGGAACTCTTTTCTCTCTACTAGGTTTTGGTTGATTTTGTTGCTTTGCGATTTAATGGCTTCTGGCTTGAACTTGGGAACTCTGTTGTCCCTGCTAGGTTTTAGTTCATTTCATTGCTTTGCCTTTAAAAATATGAGCTTCAAATACTCTCTCTCTCTCCCCACCTTCACCTTTATAAAGTTCAGCTGTTTTAGAATATTGAATATTCTTCTGAATATACTTGAAAAAAAGAAGGGTTTCTTGGAAAAGTTCTTATATCTCATTGCTTTATGTCTTTTCTGCATCTGCTCAACCTGAGAAAGGAGTGATATTGGGCTAAGTTTCAGTCCTATGTTCACCTTTACAGCTAGACAGATGCACTTGACGTTCTAAAATTCTAATTACTGCTTTGATCGATTGATTCACCTGTTTCTAGGTTGGTTCTGAAATAATATGCATTTTTAGCTTTGTGTTCCAAAGATTAGTAAATCATGGTATCTTTTTTCTCTCTTCAACACCAGAACTGCTGGGTTTCTGTGCCTTCTTTGATCGTACAGTCAATTATCATAGTGTCTCAATTTTATCTTTTTTCTTTTGCCGTTTATCTATTGAGCATGCATACTATGCTCCCTCGGGATCATAGTTTACTTCTACTCGCACGGTCAGATGACTTACTTGGAAGGATTTTTCAATATGAAATTTTGGTAACCACCGTAGAACACTAGATGATTATTCTCAAACAAAAAATTTGAAATTTAAGTTTTCTAACACATATATCTCACCCTCTAAGAATTGGACAGTTTCTATTCAATCTTGAGACATTATTCGAGGGAGCATAGTTTACCTCTACTCCCACGGTCAGGTGACTTACTTGGGAGGATTTTTCAGTATGAAATTTTGGTAACCACCTTAGAACACTAGATGATTATTCTCAAAAAAAAAAAAGAAAAATGAAATTTGAGTTTTCTAACACATCTCACGCTCTAAGAATTGGACGGTTTCTATTCAATCCTCAGGCATTGGTTTTTTCAAGTGCTTAGAGCGTGCAATTAGGAAAGTTTTTTTATTGAGGTTATATCCCCAAAATTTGGTCCTAAAACTAATCCTAAGTGGGGTTTTGCCCAAGGGATTAAATGGACAGTATACTCCCGTGGGAGTAGAATATCTTTTGGCTTATCTATTATGCTTTAGTACATCTGTTACCTTTGAATTTGGACTCTCTCTGTGACACACAATGCTAGGAAAAGCCTACAATTTAGTAGAAGAGTCTGTCCCTAACCAGGGAAATGACTCTCATTTGTGCCTGTTCAGTTTTCTTGAAGAGAGAAAAGGAAACCTTTTTCTATAGAATGCCCCATGATTTTGTTAAAAAAACACTTTTTTTTTATTACTATTTTAACCACACTTTTTTTTATTACTATTTTATTAAGGAAAGATAGGGAACACCACTGAAAAACTCACAATCCTGGCTGACCTCTATGAGCTTAAATTTGTTTGTGAGAAAATGAGAGTGTGTGTGTGTTATATTTTGTAAATATTGTGCCAAAATCTGTTAGGTGAGTTATGATAAATTTTGAGTCATTTAGAACTCTTTACGTATATTGCAGTGTTAGATAACTCTATGCATCAACTTTGTCTTTGTTTTTCATGCTCCCTTCCTATTGCTCAACCAAAGAAATCCGAAGTTTCCAAAGAAATCCGAAGTTATCTTACCCACCCAACCCCACCCGTACACAAATACTCCTCTCCCGAAAGGCAGTCTGCATTATTACTTATTCATCTCTGTCCTATTCTTCCACAAGTTATGGGGATGCCTCCAGTAGATGCGAGGCTTCTGCGTATTTACATTTATTGTTAGTTCATTTAAATATGAGGAAAATGTGTAGAGCTCAGATTCACAAGTTTTAACCAGTTTGTGGAAATTCCTTTGTAGTATTCCATTGTACTTTGTTGTTCATTTTATTATGTATTGTACTCTTGTGGTCCATATAATTGATCCAGTTTTCAAAGTCTTTTTTCGCTTCAATTGTTTTCTTTGTTTATGTTACTATATGATGAACCAGTTAATAAAAATAAATGTCGAGTTTCATTCAGAATTTCAATCTGAAATTCTGAATTCTGGATGAAAATGGGATATATTTGGATGATGCAACGTAAATTAATTCCCGGCTTCATTTCTGGAATTTTGAAACTTAGAGTGGATACCATGTCAAAACTTCAAAAAATGCAAACTACTTTCTATCTATGCAGGTCAAAATTTTCTCCCATCTAAGATTGAAGGAATCACAATAGAGAGCATCATAGAAAGAAGGAAATTTAGGAAGAGAAGCAATAAAGCTCACCAAATAAAGAAGACAGAGAGTACAGCACAAAAGGGCCCCAAAAGATACAAGTTCACATTTCTCCTGTTCAAGATTAATTGCAAAATTGATCAAAGAGGGCATTGGAGAGAAGGAAGTGCAAGAAGTGAGCGAAAGAGAATTCATCAAAAAAAGAAAGAGAGATAAAAGAAGAAATTAGGCAGCCATGAGCAACCTGAAACTGGGTGTGGAGGTAGTAAGTGCCCTCAACCTCATGCCCAAAGATGGTCAGGGATCCTCCTCCCCCTTTGTCGAGGCCCACTTTGATGGCCAAAAGTTTCGCACCACTATCAAAGAGAAAGATCTCAACCCTGTATGGAATGAGAAGTTTGTATTCACTGTAACTGATCCCGTATCTCTACCTCACAAATACATAGAAATTTACGTTTACAATGATGTGAAACCCTCTCACGCCAAGTCTTTCCTTGGATATGTTCGCCTCTCTTGCACAACGCTAGTCCCAGACTCAGAAGCCCTTGTTCAACACTACCAACTCGAGAAACGATGGGTTTTATCTCGTGTGAAAGGAGAGGTAGCCTTGAAAGTCTATCTGATTGATCCCTTTATGTCACAAATGCACGACCCGCAAAAATTGTCTGACCCACTGTTTGATCTTCTTCAGCAAAATGATCCACTTCATCTCAATGAACCGCTTCATATCAATCCCAATGTAAACACCACTGCCACCACAACGAACACTAGGCAATTTTATCACCTTAACCGAAATGAATACCACTCAGAACCCACAAAGGGTGAGGTACAAAGTGACCTAAGGCCCCCGCCATTGGTTGTAAGGCCGCAGCAATCAGCTTATCAAGGTCCTATGTCTTCGACCTCAGGTGACTATGCATTAAAAGAAACAAGCCCGTTTTTGGGAGGGGGAAGAGTGGTAGGGGGGAGAGTGGTGCAAGTTGGGTCTAGTGGGGGTAAGCCAACAAGCACATATGACTTGGTTGAGAGCATGCAATATTTGTTTGTGAGAGTAGTGAAGGCTCGAGACCTCCCTTCTGCTGATATGACTGGGGGTTGTGATCCTTTTGTGGAGGTGAAGGTTGGGAATTACAAAGGCATCACGACTCACTTCGAGAAGAAGCAAAACCCCTATTGGAATGAGGTAATCTCTCTCTCTCTCTCTCTCTCTCATATATCCAATATGTCTGTGAGTGTGTGTATTTGCAAGGCAAATTAACATTTAGTACACATATGTAGGGTCCTTTGAGACCGCAGTCTTTCAAAGAGTGATGAGGGTAGCCAGCCATGTACTGAAGATTTTCTTTTTCTATATTTCTTCATTCTAAAGGGTAGAGAAAAAAGCACCATGATAGCAGTCTTAAAAAACTTCATTTTTATTTGTAGAGTTACTAGTATTATCTTTTTTTCAACAAGGTTAAGGAAATCTTTCTCTCTGCTGAAGGTTATTTGCTTTAATGGTTTTCAGTATTCTTATCTGGGGTTTGTGTCATTGTCTATCCACCTATGGAAACATTCCCAAAAGATTCTGCAATGTTTATTAGCTAGGAAAACATTAAATTCAACAAATTTACATCCAAATCCAAAATTTATTAAGTTTTTAAGTTAACATGTATTGAGAGAAAGAGTGGACCTACCAACCTATAAATTTGAATAATACTTTTGTTGTCTAAACAATAACCCTCAATCGAGAAATATCATGGCCTTATAGTTTTTGGGCCTTGATACACAGGTCTTTGCCTTCTCAAGAGAGCGGTTGCAAGCATCAGTGGTTGAAGTGGTGGTGAAGGACAAGGATTTGGTAAAGGATGATATAATGGGTTGTGTGAGGTTTGACCTTAATGAGGTCCCAACACGTGTGCCCCCCGATAGCCCCCTTGCCCCTGAATGGTATCGCCTTGAAGACAAGAAGGGAGAGAAGATAAAGGGTGAGCTTATGCTTGCTGTTTGGCTTGGGACCCAAGCCGATGAGGCCTTTTCAGAAGCGTGGCACTCAGATGCAGCTACTTTGAAGACTGATAATGTCAATAGCATTCGGTCAAAGGTGTACGTTGCACCCAGACTCTGGTATGTATGAATCTGTATCCATGATAGGTTTAATATGAACAACAATAAATCAATATATAACAAAATATATATAAAAATAATTCAATCGATATTCTCACGCAAAAAATGCGTGTAAAGGGGTAAGCTAGCTTCTCATCAGGGAGAATTTTGTTGATGCCTTCCAATGTATTTGGACTGTAAACTTCCTGCCTTTGATAAATTACATCATTACTTGTGAAATATGTAATCCTACACCTAAATTTTGGAGCTTGGATGAGCGGTATCCTTATCTATTTTAACCATGAGAGTTTAAAGTATGGATAGTGATCCACTTCCCTTGACTACCTCTTTCTACTGTCTACTTCACTACTCTAGCTGCTAATTGTAGAAAAATAATTGTCAATGATGCCTATTAAAAAGTTCTTCCTGTAATATCCCCATGAAATTCCTCACTTCTCGAATATCAAGGAACCTGACAATATAATGACTATGAATGATGGTATTAATGATTATATGATTTTCCTAATTAATAATGTTTCACCGAAAACAGTGATGATGATGATGAGGATAATGATGGTCATATTTCATATTATGCCGATGGTGTGGATAATCATGGATCTTTTTCATCATAGGTATGTGCGTGTGAATGTGATTGAGGCCCAAGATCTGCACATTCCAGACAAAACCCGGCTCCCAGATGCCTTTGTGAAGGTTCAGCTTGGCTCTCAATTCCTCAAGACCAAGCCAGTCCAAAGCCGAACCTTAAGCCCAGTTTGGAACGAGGACCTCCTGTTTGTAGCTGCTGAGCCATTTGAGGAACCACTCATATTCACTGTAGAAGACCGAGCTGGCCCCAACAAGGATGAAGTCTTGTGTCGAGCTGATCTCTCTCTCACCTCTGTCGAGCGTAGAGCCGACGATCGGCTCATCCACTCTCGCTGGCTCTACCTAGAGAAGCCTAAGGATGCCATCTTGATCGATGGGGATGCAGTTAAAGAGGCAATTAAAAAGGAGAAGTTCTCGAGCCGACTCCATGTAAGGGTTTGCTTAGATGGTGGATACCATGTGTTGGATGAGTCGACTCATTATAGTAGTGATCTAAGGGCAACTGCTAAACAGCTTTGGAAGCCATCAATTGGGGTATTAGAACTTGGGATTTTAAGTGCTCAAGGCCTAAACCCAATGAAATCTAGGGAAACTCGAGGCACTTGTGATGCATTTTGCGTGGCTAAGTATGGGCAAAAGTGGGTTCGTACTCGTACAATTGTGGATAGTTTGGCACCCAAGTGGAATGAGCAATACACATGGGAGGTATATGACCCTTGCACTGTGTTGACCATTGGAATGTTCGATAATGGGCAGCTTGCACATGGTTCAGAGAAGGCTGGGGAGAAAGCGGGAGAGAAGGCAGCAAGTTTGGGCAAGGATTTGAAGATAGGGAAGGTGCGAGTGCGGCTATCAACGTTGGAGACAGGGAGGGTGTACACACACTCATACCCATTGCTTGTCTTGCACCCATCAGGGGTAAAGAAAATGGGGGAGCTTCATCTTGCTATTAGGTAATTCTTCTTGGTGCTGTTATTCATTTTCTTTTAATATTATTATTTTGGATTTTGTGTTTTTGAATTGCATAAGTTTAGAGGAGATAGTTCGAATTCTAGATGTTTAGGGGGGACCGCAAACATTCAATGTTTTCTAGTTCGTGGTAGTATAGAGATGCTCTCTCTCTCTGACTTTTTGCTGGTAGAATTTTGTGAATGGTTTTTCTCTCTCTGACACATGCACATCTGCATACTTGCACACATGCACATGCATCCATTTTATCTCCTTCAACAAACTCTATCCCAAGTAGCATACATTATTAGTGTGATATTTTCCTCACTTGTTTATCTCTCCCCATATTAACGGTTAGCATTTGATCGTTCAGGTTCTCATGTACATCCATGTTGAACATGATGTACCTATACTCCAAACCGCTTTTGCCTAAGATGCACTACATTCGCCCGCTCTCTGTTATCCAGCTAGACTCACTAAGGTACCAAGCTACGGCCATTGTGGCTGCTCGCCTTAGCCGCTCTGAACCCCCCCTCAGAAAGGAGGTTATCGAGTACATGTCTGATGTTGATTCCCACCTATGGAGCATGCGTCGGAGCAAGGCCAACTTCTTCAGACTCATGTCTGTCTTCTCTGGCCTCCTTGCTACCGGAAAATGGCTCGGGAATATTTGTGCATGGCGGAATCCAATTACCACGGTGCTTTTTCACGTGCTATTCCTCATCCTCGTTTGCTTCCCTGACCTCATCCTCCCAACCGCCTTCTTGTACATGTTCTTGATTGGGTTATGGAACTTCAGGTATGTTCTTGAGGCTTTGGTGTAGTGCATCGTTAAAAAACTCGTTAACAGTTATAAAATGGGCATCATAACGGACACAGGCCTCTGCTGTTAAATTATATAACAATAATCGAAAAACCACGTAAACCGCCTGATGAATAAATAATGGGCTTATTTTTAAATAAAATGGCTTTTATATCCGTTAGTAGTATTGTAATCTATAAAGGATTTAATGAAGAATTATTAGATACAAATATGATGGCAGGTTTATTCATTTATAAACATTACCATTATGCAATGTAATGGTCATTACCATTGCCTGTTTTGTGTATGTTGTAATGGTCATTGCCATTATGCAATGTAATGAAATCTGAAATGGATCATTATAAATAGTTTCTTGAAAATTGCTGAGCTGACTCTGAAACTTTGCATCCCTTTTCTCCTGTTTTTCCCTTTTTTTGAAAACTTAGATTCCAATCAGCTGCAGCGTTACTTAAGTTGCCATGAATGCCTCAATCGAGGTTTTAAAAGAGCAAAAAGTCTGAAGGCATAGAATTCAGAGAAAAAGGATCCCTTTTGGCAATGCCTTTGTGAGAAAAAAGGGGAGAAATATACGCAAAAATAACAGAGAATGACAATAGAATCACAGAGAACTCGTGCAATTGATTGATAGGGAGAGATCGAGTCTTCAGCCTTATACAGGTTTCTGAAACCCTAGAGAAATCAGGGTTTTGAATAAACTAGAGCAAGAGAATGATTGATACTAGGGATTGGGATTCATATGTCTGCAATGGCTTCTCAGGGGCAGGGCACACCCTATTACCTGTTCATCTTCAATGATGTCTTCTCCCAGTTCTAGCAGGCCAGCTTCCTTCTGGTTTACTTGCTTCCTCTTCCTTCTAGGTCCTTCTCTCTCTACTCCTTTTACAAAGGAACCCAGAATACATGATAAACCTAAACTTATTCCAAAAAAGATATCACGTTTTATTTTTTGCATCAATTTGAACAGGAATGCCCCGATTGGGCTCTCTGAGTTGGAACTGGCTATCGGACTGAGTTTTTCAAGTGACTGATTTGGTCATTGGTTCCCATTTTTTAAGCACTATTTATAAAAGATTTTGAACCTTGGTGTAGTGGTAAGACATCTAGCATGTATGAGAGAGATCACACATTCGAACCATAAACTTTGCAAAGATAAAGGAAGCTTCCATTTCATGGAACTTGAAGTTTATTGAAAGAAACCAAGCTAACTAACCCCTTCTTATTTCATTGGACGTTAGGTATCGACCGAGGTACCCACCCCACATGGACACGCGACTCTCGTACGCTGAGGCTGTACACCCAGACGAGCTCGACGAGGAGTTTGACTCATTCCCCACATCTCGGCATGCTGACATAGTGCGCATGCGATATGACAGGCTACGGAGTGTCGCCGGGCGGATACAGGCGGTGGTTGGGGATGTGGCCACACAAGGGGAGAGGCTCCAGGGATTGCTCAGCTGGAGAGACTCTAGGGCCACCGCTATCTTTGTGGCCTTTTGCTTTATTTCTGCTGTGGTTCTTTATGTTACACCACTGCAGGCAGTGGTCGTGTTTTATGGATTCTACCATATGAGGCACCCGAGGTTTAGACACAGGCTTCCATCTGCTCCTCTCAACTTCTTTAGGCGCTTGCCAGCTCGAACTGATAGTTTGTTATGAAGAGGAGCATCTTATGGGGTTTGGGCTCTTGTCATGGCATTTAAGGTGTTGATGGCCTCGGCAAAATCTCCAAGGTTCGAATCCTTGCTTACCCAAAATTAGAAAAAGCAGGTAGTATCCACTTTCACACACCTGATCTCAATGTGAAGTGGTACCAGCAAAATTGCCGATACTCGGATATGGCTATGAAGAAGGCAACTGCATTAGTTTTTTTTTCTTTTTTGTGATTTTACATGGTTTTAAAATGTGTTAGACCCTGATATGCCGACTATTGCAGGAATTTGTGCATTGTAGCTTTCTGGGAAGAATAAATTGTTGCCAACTTGTTTGTGATTTTGCACTGGGTTTGTAATCATTGGCGGTAGGATTACTGGTCATTGGTGGACTAGGGTTAGGGGTATGATAGGTATCTTTCGTTATTTTTCTTTTTCTTTTATGTAATTTTTTTCTGCTTCATTTTATCTTATTTAAGGTGTATTATGTAAATTGACTTCTTGATCTTCCACGCACAGCTGCCCAAGTATCCATATACTACCTTGTCATAAGCTATGCATTTTGAGAATAATGTCAGCAAGCCTTTGTTTACGTTGAATGGACAATTAAACCATATGCTGTATGTATCAAATATGAAGACGATCATTTCATAATTATTGAATGATATTTGTTTGTAGATTCAATGATTGGTGAACCTGTCTGAAGAGCACATAGTTACTTAAGACTAAGATGTATGCATGTCTAGTGTGACCAGAGTTTGAAAAATCGGCTCAGACCCGACCAAGTCAAACTGCCCAAGCCCAGTTCTCCTGAGTAGGGGGTCCAACTTTGGGATCTTTAAAAAAAAAAAAAAAAAAAAAAAAATCTGTTTGTAACATGTATATTTATGTTTTTTATGATTTTGACAAGTATCGGAAAGTATCTATTTAGAGGAGTGTATACTATGAGACTATTTATTTTTAATACAAAAAAGTCAAGTCAGTTTTAGCTTTTAGATGTGAAATCCAATAAATGAAAGTGTCACAAATTTAAAAAAAATTTTGGTTGGAAAACTATGACATATCATCGACCCTTCAATTTTAAATCTACCAATATAATGACAAACTTTTTTTTATCAGAAGTAAATGGTCTCATTGTATATATTTTTATTTATTTGTGTTACATAATTTTGGCAAAGATTGGAAAGTATTCATTCATGAATACTTGTTTTTATGTTTTTCCGATCATTTTGAGATTATTGCACAAGTGCTTCCCTAGCAAACTGATTTTTAAAATATATTTGTCTAATCTTTTTTAACCTTTGTTTAATGTTTACTTTAAGGAAAAAGTTTATATAAGGATGTAGGACTACGGATGCCTTTTAAAAATCCATCGGAAAAAGTAGTTTTAATGTTGAAAAAACCTTTGATTGATTATCTTGACATCGAGATGTATGACTATGAAAAATAAAAAGATTTTAAGTCTTAAAAATAGGATATTTTACAACATACTATCTACACCGTCCATTTTCAAGATTTTCATATATTTATAGATCTATTTGATTTAACTATTTTTTAAATTTAAAATTTTATAATTAGATATAAAAATAGATTTTGAGATAATCTTAATGACATTTTACATCAAAATTATATACCATGATAAAATTTGAAAGACACTGTACCTAAAAGTTGAAGGACACCGTACCTCTACACCTACGGAGGTGTCTGTATGCCAACTGCACCCTTACTTTAAACATATATTTCTTGTTGTTTTGGATTTTTTAATTTTTTAATACTTTTTCACTGCTACAGTACTTGTCACAACTCAGGCCAAATTACTTGGACTTGGGCCAAGTACTCGGCTGGGGCATAGGTCAAGTACTTGGCTCGAGTCGTTCACTCGAACACTGAGTGAGACTGTGAGAATGGCACTCATTTTGCTTACTTGCCTCTCTCTCTCTCTATAGACATTGAACTTGAATGTTTTTGGAGGCTAGGGAGCCGAACTTCCTCTCGCCCTGCTGGATGTAGCTCAAGTTTAAAAATGCGGACTCTTGATCGAACCACGACGCCCCATGCCCGACTCGAATGTGAGACTCGGTCCATTTTCTGGGAATATAACAACACGGACTCTAGGCTCAGGAGACTTGGGCAATATTTGGCCGGCTCCCTCCAAAATCGCAGTAGTCTCAAATTTAAGCCTACTCGAGCCATTCTTATTCAGCCAATTTTTTAATCACTATTTATATCTCATTCACAATAGGTTTGTAAGCAACCTTTAGCTCTACATTCTGCTAGGTAGGGGAGTTTAAAATCAAACCTATTTCAAAGTAATTTTGTTAGTGTTTTCTTATATTTGTTAAGGGAAAAAGTTTTATGAGGCATCAACCTTATACTAAAAGTAAGGTGCAAAAACCACCAAAAAGGGTTGTTCCCATGTTGGAAAGGTCCTCCAGTCGATTATCTCGACACCAAGATTTATGGGTATGAAAAAAATAAAAACAAAAGAATGACAATTTAAAAATAATGTACCATGCAACACATTATTTGGACTTAACCTGTTTTCAATATTTTCAAATATTAGATTTGCTCGATCTTCACTATTTTTGAAGATTTGAATTTCATAATTAGTATTAGAAATACATTTTTCAAGTCATCATCATAGGGGTTTTCTGGACGAGAGGTTGAAGCCTTCTATTAAAACTTGAAACCCAAGTGATTTGGTAAAATAAAAGAAGGTTCTTTCTAGGTTGGGGGACCACACCTAAGCCCTAGCCCATGGTTGGTGAACATCTTTCTACATATCATCTTGTTACTATGCAGGTGAGTTTGAAACAGTTTAGTCAGGCAACCATTTTCTTATAATGCAACTTCATGGGACCCTGATCCAGGAATGGAATACTAAGTAGGTTCATTTCACCTTTGAGGCAATAATGCAATAGAAATGTGAAATTTAGTTCAGAATATCTTGGTTCTTCATCAAAATTCATATTGGTCACCATCTCTAGATTTTCTTTGAATGGGGCAGGTAGGCCATGGAAAGGAGCATATAACTTTTCCTTGCAAAAATAAAAAAAGGGAAATTATTGTAAATATACCTTATTTTGAGCTTAATTGGAAAAAATTCTAGATTTTTGTTTATCTCATCTATACTATTTTTCCTCATTTTTGGTTTTTTTTATCAAAATGACCTTCATGGTAGTCGTATTACCATAATAGTTAGTACATGTTATATGGTACTTTAAGTACTGTAATACTTAAGGAATTTTATACGGTAAACTTACACTAGCCCTTATACGGCATTTGAAGTATCGAAAATACTAACCCATGTTATACGAATACTTAAAATACTGTAAACCTTTTTTTTATGTTTATCCTTTCATCTCTAATTCTTTTTATGTATATATATTCTTTCTCTCTTTAATTTTTTTTAATATTTATCTCTTCTTTCTCTTTATAATCTCATCATCGTTTTTTAGGGAGAGTAATCAAACACTAACTTCGGCTATGCAAAACGGAGGACATGATCTATCTAAAGAAACGATGATGACATTGTAGAGAGAGAAAGAAGAGAAGAGATAAATATTAAAAAGAATTAGAGATAAAGAAGAGATAAATAGACATAAAAGAGATAAATATAAACAACATGAGAAAAGGATTTTATGGCATTTTAAGTGCCGAGATTGTAGAGAGAGAAAGAAGAGATAAAAACAAATTAGAGAGAGATAGAATATATAAATATTAAAAATAATTAGAGAGAAAGAAGAGATAAATAGAAATGAAAGAGATAAATATAAACAACATGAGAAAAGGATTTACAGCATTTTAAGTACCGTATAAGATGGGTTAGTTTTTACGGTACTTAAAACGTCGTATAATCGGTTTTAGTTTTTACGGTACTTAAAGTACCGACCAGAGTTTTACTGTACTTAAAGTACCATAATATTATTTGAAGTTACTATGGTATTTTAAATACCGTATAAAATAACGTGTATTACGGTAGTCTTACTACCGTAAATGCCATTTTGGTCTAAAAAAATCTAAAAATGAAAAAAAAAAATAGTATAGACGAGATAAACAAAAGTTCGGGGTTTTTTTTCCAATTAACCTTAAATTAATGTATATTTGCGATAATTTTCCAAAAAATAATTTTGATAATTTTTGCACTTTGGCCTATGATTCAAGGCAAGAAGAATCCAATGAATAAAAGACCTCTAACATATAAATTGAGACTAATAAAAAACTATGCAACCTTATAATCTTGCCAAGGTAAAGAACCCTCAACTGATAATATCAATGTGTAAGGAAGTGACTCAAGGTCATCCCTTCTGCTTGTAGTCCTTACCAAATGGGCCTGTACCCTTGCATTTAGATATGTGCCCCTACCAATACAAATCAAAACGTTTAAATCATGTTGTTAGCATGTCACATGTATCATAGTATACTTCCTCAATTAAAAAATGTCGATTTTGTCCTGAATCCCTATTATTAAATGATTTGTTTCCTTTTTTTTATTTTGGGTTTCCTAGTTAGTTAGAAAGTTTCCAATTATTTTGGAATTACCATTAACTAATTTGCTACTATTTAAGAGTTGGTTTTGGGGATAAAGTCATATTGGATTAGGATGGTAATGAGAGTCCATATTTCAAGAGAGATTATTAGATTTCCAAAAATTAGGAAAAAGTTGAAGGGACCTCATGTAGGTACCTCTTGGGTTTTCTTCTCTATTTATTGCTTGTCTTGTAGAGAGAAATATAAGGAAAAGTGAAGGGAAACTTCGGGTGGAGAGAGGGATAAATTATAAAGAGAGGAAGGCTTTTTGAGAGATTGACTTTTGTGTATCTGGTTCTCTCCTGTGGGTGTTTTGTATTTTTTTTTTTATTAGTGAAATATTGTCTATTGTCTTTGCCCATGGATATAACGAGTCCCATAAAATTTTCGTTTTTTTTTGTGTTATTTATTTCATACATTATTTTTCTAGCTTATTGTTTGTTCTATATTTATCGCTGTTTATTTGCAAAAAAAAATCAATCCATCAAGTTTTAGAGCTTTCGTACACAGCAAAAAAAAACATATGAAAAAAAAGCTCTTTACCACACGTGCACGATTGTATCTCATGTCACATTACACTTCTCCCCTTTGGAAGTTCATGGATAACATGAATTTACTTGCATGAAGGCATTGGGTCTCTTCATGTGATTCACAGATCACTCTTCATCTCATCTAGTTGTTACACCAAAAGATTAAAAAAGATTACAAGGATTCCAACAACAGACAATGCAATTAGAAATCAGATAAGAGTTGCTGAATATTTCCAAGCCATATTAGGGTATAGACACAAAGTATTGTCAATTAGGACCATTTATTAGGTTTTTTAGACATGAGTCTGGACTTTTTGAGTATTATGCTGAATTTAATGGGAATATGAAAATAGTTCCAGGTGATTATCCGGCTTCACATCTCCATGCACAAGCCTGTGACAGAAAACATGAATTTCTTTCTATTCACCAGTAAATAGAGAGAATTAATATAGACATCAAATGGAAAGAGTCCAGATTATAAAATTCATGAATAAAGAGAGAGAGAGATAGGGTTATCGGGAACCCCTTAGCTTGCAGAACAGAGATCCCACCCAAGATTGTGTACTCAATTAGCCATATGCGAAGTAGATGAATACAATTGAGTGTAAAAATAAAGTAAACATAAAAAATCACACCACAACAACACACTATTTACGTAGTTCTACATCTATAGTTTTTTGTTACAATAGATAATACATATCTTTAAACATCGGTAAAAGATCATCACCAATCTTCATTTTAAACCCGTACTCCCGACCGAACAACACCATCGATCAACATCATCTTTCCAAGACTATCACCAATCTTCCATTCTAAACCCGCACTCTCGACCAAACAACATCATCGATCAACATCATCTTTCCAACCACAATACTGACCAGAAAGATAACCTCGAGAGCAACCGATAGACTTTCTCTCTGTCAAAGTTAACCAAATACTGACCGGAAAGATTACCTCGAGAGCAACTAATAGACTTTCTCTCTGTCAAAGTTAACCAATCTAAAACTCATGGGAATACCGCCTCTCGTTCTATGTCTCTCTTTCTTGGAGACCCAATTCCATTCATTGAGTCTCTTATATAGATATCAATTTCTTACTTCACAAAAAAACCGATTTTCATTTTATCATAATACCTTTAATCTTTAGAAGAAAATATGAGTATGATAATTTGGTTATCACCGAACCCAGCAAGAGAGAGAATATGATTGAAGATCCTTAAAAATGGCTATTGCCTCCTCTGCAATCCAAAGAGCCCAGTTTATGTACATCAGTTCCATGTGTCAGAGCAATTAGCCCATTTCAAATAACTGTGTATAATGGACATATTAAACAAAAGAGACTGATTCTTACTTCATACCCTTAGACTTCCAAACATTCCAGAGACTTGATCCAAGAATGTCCATGACCTGAAATAATCTCACCATATGGCATTGATACACTTCAAATATAACTTTTTTGGGGCTTTAGATAACCTTATCTAAATTAAAATCTACCATAACCTAGTAGTCTCCTTGTTGGCCTTGGCAATTAATTCTTATAACTGTCATTGAGAGCTTTGGTTAAACAAACACAAATTAAACATTTAATATTTTGTTGATACAAACTAATTTCACAAAAGCTTGCTGATTAGTTTCATCAAGCTATACTTGTAGGCTCTCCCATCATTTGGACATCAATTTGCCACCAATTCTCCTAAAAAAAGAACTGACAGAAAATCACCTGTACCTACCTTTTCTCAGTGTTATAAATAGGGAAACTGCCCACTTGTACCTAAAACTAGTGAAGTGCAAAGTGCAAAGAATTATTCAAATGCGCATTCTTTAAGCAATTATCACACAAGGGACGAATGACTCGATAACTATAAGAAAGGAAGTTAAACACCATAAGTAAATCCCAATATAGTAATCTCATCAAGGTACATTCAAAATGAGGCATTTCCCTCAAAGCTATTGCATCTTTTGAAATTACTTGGTAATCTAATTCAATAACTGTATTGTCAATTCCTTATGCACAACCGCTTTTCTGTTCTTGGGTAATTCAATGGATATGACTGGCCCCTTATACGTTTTTGACTTAGTTAGTGGTTTTTGAAGCTTTCAGTGAGAATAGAAGCTACAATGTACAATTGAGATATGAGGTGTGCTATACTAAGCTTTGATACTCTGGACTGTCAGTGGGAATGGAAGCCACAATGTACAATTGAGATATGAGATGTGTTATATTAAGCTTTGATATTCTAGACGGGTGTTTGACAACCTATTTAAGTTGAACTGACCGGATTACCTAGAACTAGTCTCTGACCAGTCTGATTTTAGCCCCTTTTTGTGGTTAAACACCAAGATGTTGAAAAAAATGTAAAGACCCTAGAACGAAAATAAGAAACGTATTTGTAATGTGTTTTCTAATGTTTTTTATCAAATTGGAAGGTGTTTGGGCCATGAATACTTATTTTTATATTTTCTCTTATTTTTAAATTATTTTAAAAATATCATTAGATTATTTCAAAAATACCCCCTGTTCACTAATTGCTTTTTTCAAAATCAAATTCTTTCACTACTTTTTATACTTTATTTAGATGTGTTTTGTTTAATTTACTCTAAACATAATTTTTATGTTTTCGGATTTATGTCTTTTTATTTCATGAAAAGTTTTGGTGGGGCCAAGACCTGAATGGTTTTTTCAAGTTATCCAAAACCAGTTTTGGATTACTCGGACCAGCCCACATCTGTGCCCTGATCGTGCACTCCAACACTATCATAAACATTTCGAGCTCATTTGGTTCGAATGAAAACTGCATCATGAAACAGTTTTCATATGAAACATATACACACATTTGGTTCATGCATAAAGATGGTGAAAACTTGTCCCATCGGAAAAATCGTGTGAAAAGAAATCCCCACCCCACAAAGTGGGGAGTAAGTTTATGGGGATCCATTACTTGAGCGGACACGAAAAAAAATTCATTCCAGTTTGTCGTACGACGCTGAAACCACATAAATTAACGGTAAAAAAGGGGTAATAGTTTAATAGCGTTGCAACTACAACCTTATCAAAATAAGTAAGAAAAAAGTTTATATAAAGGTGCAACCTTAATATGTAGAATTACATATGCACATAAAAAATCCATCGAAAAAAGTTGTTTTAATATTGAAAAAACCTCTAATTGATCATATCGACATCGATATAAATGAATATAAAAAAAGAAAAAAAGATTTTGAGTCCTAAAAATAATGCATTTTACAACAAATTATCTAGACCGTCCATTTTCGAGATTTTCATATGTTTATAGATCTACTTGATTTTAATCATTTGTTGAGCTTAAAATTTTGAAAAATTATCGCTAATATACCCATATTTTCAAGAAATTGGAAAAAAATTCCCAACTTCCAAAACCTCACCCACACCCTTTTGCCCCATTTTCACAAAATTTCGGACGAAAATACCCTTTACGGTAGTCGCTGTACCATAAAAACAATAACAAAAATCTTCTTTAAGAATATTCCGGTACTAAGAGTACCGTAATGGTCTTTTTTCTTAATTATAGATCCATCCTAATCTTGGGCCATTACGGTACTCTTAGTACCGTAATTTATTTAAAACCATTACGGTACTTTTAGTACCGTAATGGTTTTTTTTTTTTTTATCTTGGAGCATTACCATACTCTTAGTATCTTAATGTTATTTAGAACCATTACGGTACTAAAAGTATCGTAATGGTTTTTTTTTCTTAATTATATTGATTGACCAATCTTGGAGCATTACGTTACTCTTAGTTTCGTAATATTATTTAAAACCATTACGGTACTTTAATGGTTTTTTTTTTTCTTAATTATATTGATTGACTAATCTTGGTGCATTACGGTACTCTTAATACCGTTATGTTATTTAAAACCATTATGGTACTAAAAGTACCATAATGTTTTTTTTTTTTTTTCTTATCTTGGAGCATTACGGTACTCTTAGTGCCGTAATGTTATTTAAAACCATTAAATGGTGTTTTTTTCTTAATTATATCAATTGACCAATCTAGATTATGATATTAAAAATACCGTAAATGTTTTTACGGTACAACGACTACCGTAAAGGGCACTTTTGTCCGAAATTTCATGAAAATGGGGCAAAAAGGTTTGGATGAGGTTTTGGGAAGTTGGGTTTTTTTTTTTCAATTTCTTGAAAATATGAGTATATTAGTGATAATTTCTCTAAAATTTTATAATTAGAGATAAAAATAGATTTTCAGATAATCCTAATTTACATCAAAATTACATGTTATAGTAAAATTTTGAGGTGCACCATAATTGGATTGTTTAAAGTTGCAACCTTATAGAAACCACACCCAATAAGTAAAGCCTCACCTCATAATTCATAAAAAATTTGCAATTCAAGTAAAAAACTTAGATCTATCATCTCAACTTGAACATTATGGTTGTGAAAAAAAAAATAAGATTTCAAATTCTAAAAATAGTATATATTGCAACAAATCATCTAGACCATCGATTTCACCCTAAAAATAGTGTTTACATATCCAAGATCTATCCTATTTATTGAGTTTCAAATTTTAATTTGGGAAAAGTTTATATAAAGCCGAGGTTCTAAAGAATCAAATTAAAGCCTACCTCAAAAATTTCACGAGAAGAGATTGTTTAGGTGCCCAAATATCTTCGAATTGATCATCTCGACCTCAAGATGTATGACCATAAGAAAAAAATAGATTTCAAATTTTTAAAATAGTGTATTTTGTAATATATTTTTGGACGGTCAATTTTCAAGATTTTCATAGATATGTCGATCTACACTATTTTTTATGCTTTAAATTTTATAAAAAAATATAAAAATATAATTTAAAGCTATCACGAAGATTACAAGTGTTGAAACTACATTTTCCGATACTATTTGAAAGTAGGCTCTAATTTGATTATTTAGAGGTTAGGCTCTATACAAACCGCACCCTTTTAATTTTAGATACAGATTTGGGATACCAAAAAAAAAGTGCTTTTTAAATGAGGATTTGAGGTGAGGCTTTATTTTGTTTGCATAGAACCTAGGCCCTGCAAAAACTTCATCCGTTAAAAAAAAAAAAACCTGTAGCCCGTCTCTCACAACCCTTACCTTCTCACAAAGTCATCGCGCCACTCTCTCAAAGCCCTGCATTCTCTCTCGCCAAGCCAAGCCAAGCCAAGCTTCCCTAGCCACTCTCTTTCAACCCTCTCTGTCATCGCTCACAGACGCACAAGCGAGGATCAAGCTTTCATCTTCAAGGTAAGGTTGTTTCTTTTTCTTTTATTTTTTTGGCTGGTGTTCTTTTATTTTTATTTTTGCTTGTTTTTCTTCATCATAGTGTAAAGATTCTTCACCAAACAAGGTAGGGTTTCCTCGTACGAACTCCCGTACAAAATACTCATCTGCTTCAACAAGGGTATGGCTTTTATTCTTGTGATTTTCCTGGTTTTTCCCTTTCGATGGTGCTGTTTGTTTTTTAATTTACCAATGCAAACATTTATTTTCTATGATTTTCCATGGGAAATTTGTTGCTTTTTTATTTTTGGCTTATTTTATTGAGAATAGAAGCACAATTTTTACTACAGAAAAATATGGGTATGGTTTTTTTTGTTGTCCTTTTCTGTTTTTTTTTTTAACTATTATTTCTGTCTGGTTTTTTGATGTTGTATAGATGCCATTTTGTGATTTTTACATTTCATTGATTTTTTTTTTCAATTTTATCCTGAAACTAGAAAGAGCTGAGCCGGATTGACTTTGAAAACTATCCCTCCAAGTCATTCCAAAATTAATATAATGGATGGGCACTATCGTGCATAAATCTGTTTCATCGGTTTAGATTTTACTAAGTATTTGGTAAGCAGTGACATTGGGGAAGTAATAAACTGTCATTAGTAAATATTAGATCATAGTAGGGGATTTAATGTGGGTTGTCTACAGTTTGGAACTTTATAACATTCTGTAAAATATCATTGATTGTAAGCCTTGTTATCATGAGTGAGCCATTCTTGAGTGCTTTCACTATGAGGGTACTGAGAAATGAAGCCACCATTATATCCTAAAACTAGAAAAGATTCGACTCAAATGCTTCATGAGTAAACTTCCCATGAATTTTGAAGCTGCGTTTTGAATGCTTTTCTCTTTATTAGAATATGGATTATTTTCCATTTCTTTTGCGCTGATGTGCTTTCTGATTATGATCTCATAGTAAGCAGTTCGATAGTGACATAGTTATGTATCTTTGTTGGATATTGATTGCCTGTTTTCGTTTCTTTATATTTGTCACTGCTTATTTGAAGGGCATAAACTTAGTTATGCAATGCTGGTTTTCTATTTTTAGAAATCTATTTAAATTCTTGAAATAATTTTTTTCCATACCAAATATTGTACCAACTGTTTGAAACATTGTAAAAGACTAAATTTTTTTATGCTACTAAAAGGAGGGTGTACATTCTTTATTAAACTTTATACTGATTTTTATGTTATTAGATGTGCATAAGCTACATGTGTTTAGTCTTGACTAGATGCCAGTTGTTAGCATTATCAACAACACCCATGCAAGAGAATCTTAATTGCATGCCTTGCTAACTGTCGATGTCGATATCAAATCAACTATATTGCAATTGAATTTTAGTTGAATGTTTTAAAAAAATCATCTTAATGGGATAGATGTCGATATCAAATCAACTATATTGCAATTGAACAGTTAAAAATATGTATTAATCCAGATCGTGGGAGATAGTTACAAGAATTCCAGAAATGTGAACCAAACATGGGAAAAAACAGGATTGGAAAACTATTGCACTGTGAACTGTTTATATATGAAAACTGTTTTACATATGCAAACTGTTACGCATGAACCAAACAAGCCCTTCACATCAACTAAATACAGTGAAAATCCAATCCACGGAACCTTTCCTGGATGTATACAAAGTAAATTATAGGTAAACTGAATAGGAAGGCCGGTTTGCCCGACAATACAGTTTTTGAAACAATGGCTTATGGGCTTATACAAAAGAAAGGAAACCCTATTTCATATTTTGTATTTTGTAAAGTCGGGGCTTCACCCAAGTTTGAGCTATCAGCACTGGTGTGCTCTCTCAAAGAAAGACTTATAAAATCCAAATGATGGGTTTGGTTTATGGCTAAAGTACCCTAGATTTACCTAATTTTATTTAGGTGGTTTATTATCTATTTTTCACAGGTTTTAAACTTCATATGATTGAAGAAACATGGAGATCGACCTCAAAAAGATCGCTTTTGATTTGGATTTCCACCCTTCCAGTCCCATTGTTGCTACTGGATTGATCACTGGCTATGTCCGCTTGTGAGTTTCTCTCACTTCTTATTCTCTCTCTAAGAATTTTGTTTATCTATTCTAATAAATCATGTTTTGTCAATCGAAAAAAGAAATATTGAACCAGTTTTTGATTAGTAGCTATGCATTTGATTTAGTTGCTCTTTCTCTCTCTGTCATTTTTGTTTTCCTCTCTCTCTTTCTCTCTTTCTCTCTCTCTCCCTCCCTCCCTCCCTCCTTGTAAGGTTCTACTTGATTGGTCGCCTTCTCTCTCTAGTCCTTTCTCGCCTATGCGTGGCATCCAGTTGCCCCTTTCTTCTGCATCCTTGATTAGTGCTAACTTTATGAAAATGGATAATTAGTGGAATGCTAGGAGGCCAGAAACAATGAAAATGAAATCATGAAAATGAAATCAATAGTATCGGTACAGGAACCAGGAATGTAGAACAAATTTGAATCGGATCTCTCTCTCTCTCCCTCCCCCCCCCCCCCGCAATTTTGAGTGTCTTAATGAGTACAAGCATTTCATTGATCCTTTTTTGTGGCATTTGTGCAGGTACCACTATGACCCAGAATCTCAATCGCAACCAAAAAAGTAATTTAAACTCGATTTTCCCGAATTAGAATGTTATTCTTGTAACTAAATTAGGCTGACTGAAATGGGTCATTGAAATTTAGGGGTTTTAGTCTTTGTAAATTGAATGTATTATAGTCATTTTCATATCCAGTACATAATTATGCTTAAGGAATTTAATCTCTTGCGTCATTTTTTTTTTAATTGTGTGTTTTTTCTTTTTTGCAGGTTAATCAGAGTCAAGGCTCATCGCAAGTCATGTAGAGCGGCTAGGTTTATTGATGATGGGCGTGGTAAATATGCTGGTTTTTAGCCTTTAATTGGTTTTTAGCCTCACCATATATATAACAGTTAACATTCTCAAAAAAAAAATGGTTTGTATTGTTAATTTCAAGAGCATGATTTCATTTTCTATGTAAAAATGGTTACCCAGTCCATAGAGTTTTAGCCATTAATGACTTTATGGTTTAGTTTGAGAGCATCATTCTAAATTTCTCTGGTGAAAATGTTGACTTCAATCTGTTGATTTTAACAATTAAATGGTTTATTATTGAATTAATAGCCTGGTTTTATGTTTATTGGGTGAAAATCGTGATGCAATCTATTTACATATTGCTGTGCTATGCATTTTCAGTTATTCTTACGGCATCAACAGACCGTTCAATTCTCGCTACTGATGTTGAGACTGGGAAAGCTATTACCCGTGTCGACGATGCTCATGAGTGCGTAGTTTTCTTTACTGCTCAAACAACTTTCCAGTTTCACCCATTTCTATACCTGTGTGGTCTCAGCTAAATCATAATTCATTTTTTCCCCTTTTAACACAAAATTACTTGTTTCTTTTCTTTTATTTATTATTTTTTGAAAAAGAAATTGCTCTCTGGTTTTGCAACCTTTTTCTTAAGGCAACTTTGAATTCTTGAATGTGTTTTGTTTAATAAAACCTTAATTTGCAATTGACATGCAAAAATTGGAGTGGGGCTGGTGACTTGCATCCTAGGTTCAAGCCTCCCATTCATATATGATGGAAAAGAAAAACGGAAGAGGAAATTTGGTCATTTTTCCATCATGGTTATATAAGTGGTCTGAATTGAAGTTGAAACTTAAATTTATCCTGTCATCATGAAGTAAGGATTGGGAATGCATGTATTACTGTATTTTCACCAAATAAGAATTGCTCAGCATCTTCTGTGTTCTGAACATTTGCTTCAAGACATTATAAGTATGTGTTTTCTTGGGCAAATCAAAGCTCCTTTTGTACTGGTATTGGAATTCCTTTTATTGTTTGCATGATTTGCATGCTTCCCATAAGCGTACAAATCATGCAAACAACAACTTGCTTCCCATAAGCCGACCCCAAATAGTTGGGAAAAGGTTATGATGATTATTTGTATGCTTCCGATAGCGGGGGTTTAAATCTTTCTTTCATGTCATCTGTTCCGTGCTCTCCTTTGTGAGAGTATAACTTTGGTTTACTGAGCTTTGGAACTCTTTGCACGCTTTGCATGATTTATATGCTTTCTATGTTTGGAGGCTAAATCTGTCTTTCATGCCATCTTTTGCTTGCTGTCTGTTTTGAAAGTATAACATAGATTTTTTGTTGCTAATTTGTCTGTTTTGGAAATTTTGTATTGTCATTATGTAGATCAGCTGTCAATAGGTTGATCAACTTGACCGAAACGACAGTTTCTTCAGGAGATGATGAGGGAGTTATCAAGGTCTTCTCATTGAACTCATGACCTCAAGTGCATGTGGGGTTTTGGAAAGTTTGGAAAGTCCATTTGTGTGTGTGTGTATATGTGTTATCTTTCAGTAGGTGCATGTAGTATAGAATCAATACACTTCTTCCCTTTCAGTATGAGAACTAAGTTCTTTGTAGTGGATCTAGATCCTGCATTCCTGGTCTAGGTTACTTAAAAGTTGGACTATTATAGAGATGATGCACCTATAAAATTGTGTTCTCCTTTATATAGGGATTGTGTATGAGGTAATTGCATGTCTTCTCAGGTGTGGGATACACGGAGTCGTACTTGTTGTAACTCCTTTGACGCTCATGAAGAATTCATTTCAGACATGGAATTCATCTCTGATTCTAAGCAATTGTTGGGAACGAGGTACAACTTCAATCTATTCCTATTGGTCCTTTAAAGAGTAAGTTAGATTCTTAGACTAATTGTGAGAACGTAAAGGTTCAAGAATCGATTTTTGATTGCCTATAAATTTTTGTATTGGCGGATATATGCTCTTTTTTTTCCTTCACTCTTTTTGACCTTATGAACTCAGTGACAGCTTGAAGTAAAATTTCTTTCACTGTCCCCAGTGATTGCTGTCAGTGAACTTTTCATGATGGGTTATCAAAATTTTGAATTAAGATAATTGAGTTTTGAGTATCTCAAATTTGGTAGCCAATTCATTTAGTGTCAAAACCGAGTTAACTATTTGAGACAGCAGCTTTCTCAAGTTTTCGTGTGACATTTGTAGAGACCATGTATTTTGTCAAATCGACTTAGAAAATTCTATATAAGGAAAAATCACGCATCGAGAGTTTTTTATTTATGAAATTCAACTACTTGATGAATTCAGTTGACTCTGGAGAGTTTTTATGAATTGAATTGAGTTTTTGTTTGCTGGAAAATGCGATTGACATGGTTTTAATGACTAGTTGTGATACAAATTTTTATTGACACCCAATTGTCTTATAAAATAAACTGGTGAGATGCACCTGCTTTGCAGGTCTCATCGAAATGTTTTATTACTAATGTGTTAATTGCTGCAAATATTATGAGATATAGCAAATTGAGTAAGTTATTTATGTGATATTTAAAATAACATATAAAAATTAATGTAACAAATTAAGTAACTTAAAGATGATATTATTATGATTATAGTTCAATTGCAAATATATTTATTAATATTAACCTAAAATAATTAATATAAATCAATAAATTCCATAAATAAAGTTAGGATTTATAAGACACTTTATAAATCAATAAATTCTATAAATAATTGCATAATTATAAGACACTTATAATATTTTAATTGTTTTTGTGATTATTATAATATTTATAAAAATTATATTATTAATATAATTAATATTATTTATATCTATCATTAGTTTTATCATGATAACAATTACTATTACTTAGTTATTATAAGAAACTAATTAATTATAATAATTTAAATATTTATTGATAAATAACATATTAGAAAATAAAATATTTGCAATAAAAATAGATTCATTGTAAAAAATAAATTACGCTAATTTTAATTATGATAAACTTGTAATAAAAATATCTCTAACATTTTATTTTTTAAAATGCTTTAAATATAATTATTATTGTTCATATACACATACTACGTTTATAATATCAACCAAAAAATCTGAAAATAAGAGAATATTTATTGAATAGATAATTATGTTTTTATTATTGAATACATATTTATCATTGCATTTATGCATATTTAATTCAAGTCATTTGTGTCTTTTTTACATGATTTATTTTAACACATTCAATATATGTTTTTTTTCATCTAAAATGTTAATTTTATGATTATCTTTACTAATATAATAGTATGTCCAATTAATGATCAATTATCTTTAGGTGATGTGAGAGAGAGAGAGATGTGTATCCTACTCGAGTCCTACTTGAGAGAGAGAGAGAGAGAGAGTCTTAGAAATAAGTTACTCCCATCTTTAAAGAGAGATATGTGGATGTGAGAGTGACGTGACGCACATTAAATTAACGATCAGTTATCCCACTTGTGTGTGTGTGTGTGTGTGTGAGAGAGAGAGAGAGAGAGAGAGAGAGAGACGTACTACGTAAGAATAACGTAACCCTCCCTATACGTAGTAAAGAAGTAAGTGTAGAGGTAGGTAGGTAGGTAGAGTCGACCTAAC